TCACTACGATTCTTGGCTATGAGCTCTCGAGTTTACCCTAGTCACCCTATTGCTCTGCTGTTCAACCCTTGATTGCGTGTCACCAGAGCCAGAGTCCAAAGGTGTCGCTTGTCCACAGGGTTGCTAAAGAGGATATTTGATTCCCTTCCTCTTAACTTCAGTTTTGATCTTCTTCCTCAGTTCCTCTTATTCTCAGCTACTAATATGAGAAGTTTGAAGTTTTGATCCCTTTCCTCAGTTCCTCTTATTCTCAGCTACTAATATGCTTAGTTTTTAGTTTTGTGGGTTTGGTTACTTTGGTAGATTTAGTGGATTTTTTCAATAGGAATAGCTAAGTTTTTCACTAGCCAACTCTATGTGTCTAACTCTCTATGCTTCATGGTTTTTTTTTTAGTTTCTTGGGTTTAGTAGATTTAGGGATTTATTTGAATAGTACTTTTTTCATAGGTTTTTTGGATTTGGTAAATTTAGGGGATTTGTTTGAATAGCAATGGCTTATTCTTATGTTATGCCTCTTTGCAGGGATAGAGAATAGTGAGAGTATTGAGAAGTCAAAGGAGACAAACTCAGGCACAATAGCTGTAGGAGACAATGCAACAAAGAACACGATGGATGGAAGCACAAATGCTAAATTAGACAAAGCAAACAGTGATGCTAGTGCTACCGGAGTCGAACCATCCCTTTCAGTCCAAACAAAACCTATGAAGCGCAGGGCATGGGTATGGAAATTTTTTGATGAGAATGGTAAGACTAGGGCTAGGTGTCATTTCTGTGGGCATGATTTAGCTGTTGAGTCCAGAACCAATGGAACTGCTCCATTGAAAAACCATTATAATAGCTATAAATTGAATCTTGTGAATGTTAAGACTCAACAGACTTTACTTAACTTCAAAAAACTGTTAGAGGTTGATGATGTAGATGATAGAGAGGTAACTCAGTTGACAACAACATCACGAAAATTTGATGAACAAGCTATTAGGAAAGTGTCATATCCTGATTTTTCGTTTAGTTTATTTAGACTTTACATAAATATATATATGTATCAATCAAAAAATTAATCAAAAAAATAAAAAAAATAAAAAAAGCACAAAATATAAAAATATGAATTTTCTCTTTCCTTTAACTAATATATCTTCATTTTTCTTTCATGTGCTACATGCAAAGAGAAGAAACTCAAGAAGAAAATGAAGAAAAGAAACTCGAGAAAGGACTCAATTGAAGGAATCAAAAGTTTAAGGGTGAAATTTATCAAATTCACAAAGCCAACACTAACCCATTTCAATTGAGCCCATTAAATTATCCAAACCCAATTACCCAAAACCCAAATACTCAAACCCAATTACCCAAAACCCAAATACCAAACCCAAAGCCCAAAACAAAAAAAGAAAGAGATTAGATCCTTTACTCTCCAGAACCTTCTTCTTCCCCACACACCCCGACCTTCTCCCTGCACACCCGAACCAGCCTTTCTTCCTCACACCTGAACCCTGCTCTACAGATCCCCTGCTGCTGCATGTTGCGCCTGCGCCCCTGCTCCCTGCTCTGTGCTCAAATCCCCTTGCTTTGCGCCAACCCCTTGCTCTGCACCAAATCTCCTGCACTCTGCGCACCGGCAATCATGCCTCCTGCACGCCTACACGCCCTACCCCCTGCGCGCATGCACCCTCCTCTACCAGAGCCCAGATCTGCACTCATCACCCCTCTACGCGAGCCGATCTGCACTCATCACCTCCCCTCTTCCTTGAACCAATCACCTGTGCCCCAATCGTGCAATCCCCGGCTGCAACGCAATCTTGCAACCCGATCTTGTACCTGCTCTGGTTGTCCGATTCTCCTTGGCACCTTGTCTCGTTCTTCAACAAGATGAAGCTCGGTCCTTTGCTTTGGCGGGTATAAATAGAGGGTT